GCTCTGCAGCCACAGTACTTATGTTCTTGAATTCAATTTGCAGAAGTGAGTATGTTCCTGTCAGGGTTTTATCTTAATTTGTGTAACTGTTGCTAACGTTAGGCCCAAGAGTCCACTTACATTTAATAGGAGAGAAAGAGAGTCTTTTTATAAGGTACAGAAGGTCTCTAATGTTATGTCTTTATAGCCTTTGTGAAGCTTTCACATGCATTTTTATTATGAAGTCTAGTAATATAGGTTATTTACAAAACATTTGATTTTCACATCCCATAGTGAAATTTTGGTAATACACATAAAGTATTTTTCTACAGGTTTTCCTCATGACCTTTGTTTTAAGTTACTAGATGGTATAATTGTTCAGCAGTCTTGCCTTATAGTATGACCAAGGAATCGGCATGAGTTCTTCAGTCATGGTTGGCATTGTTCCCATATGTGTAACAGATCTTTGTGATAAATATTGGGAAGGTTTGAAATAAGGGTTATTTGTAATTTTCATCCATTTCCAAATGGTTACCCATATGTGAATTCCATTGTATAGGTATGCCTGAGGTGGTAGTACTTTTATTTTCATTAGTGTTCGACCAGTAGGTGTACCATTTTATGCCTTCTGCTGCAAGCACTCAGAAAATTAAGATTTATCTCTGTTATTGCTGTCCACTGTAAAAAAAAAAAAAAAAAAGCTTTAGTTTCCAAGTTGTGGATTCTCATCTAGTGTGTTTATACTATTTACACAAAGATAATAGGTTGAGAATGCTACTTGACTATCTTCAAGTAATGAACGTGCAGAGATGTTCAGACTTTTCAGTAGGACCTCCTTTAATAATGCCCTCAAGACATGGGTGTTCAATTTACCATTTTTGTTTGGGAGGAAATATGCTCAAAGATAAATGCAGGTTTTGCGGTCCTCTTCACCCACAGTGTCTCAGGTTATGCCTTTTAAGAGAAACCAATAGGTTCTTTAACTGTCCTGTTTATATCATCAGGAAGAGATGCAAGTGGCTGTAGGTGTGTGGTTGCTTTTTTGTGGTGGGGTTTTTTGTGGGTTTTGCTTGGGATTTTTAGGATGAAAAGCTCTTTCAAAATCAGTAGCTGTTGCTGAGGGTTTTTTTGCAGGGGGAAGTGGATGAATTCACAGAATATGGTTCCATGAGATGAGGTTCCATTGGAGTTGGCTCTCTGCTGCCAGCAGGGGGAGTTTCTGCTTGTCTCTGTCCTCACCCCTTTACCTCCTTGGTCTCAACCACTGGCTCCTGTCCCTTGTGCCAGTCCTGTCACCTTTCAGATTACATTGTGAGCTGTTTTAGCATGCCACTTTGACCAAAACCCAACAAACAAAAATATTTTGTGACATTCTACAGTCTTGTTGAATTAAGGTGACTCAGAGAGATTTGACAAGCTTCAAAGCTATCAGAGAAGGCACTGGCTGTACAACCTAGAAGTGGAAAGGGTAAGGGAGCAGTCAGAAGAGTTACGAGACTGCAGTCTTCAGGAGCAGCAAACTAGCCCAGCTTAACAGTCCAAGGAATCATACTGACAGTCTCTTTTCTGGTTCTTGTCATAAATTCATGAACTATGGGATCTCTGTTTGGAAGGATCAAAAAGTAGGGCACACTTGACAGCCTAGTCAGCTTTGTTCTGTGCTAGCAGTTGGGGAGTTAGCTGTGCACAAACATATGGTTTATGTGATTTCCCTGAAGAAATTACTGAAATGTTCTGCAAATATTAAGTAATGTGACTGACACAGTATAAAGAAACTACAACATTTTACAAATTCTGAACAGTTGTTTCGGTCTGCAAAATTGAGTTCTGACTTTGGTACTTGTCTTCTACTTCTCAGCAGTGAGAAACATTCCAGCAGATTTCATGTACTTGAACTCACTTGAGCATAATCCTTCTCTGCAAACTGTGACCAAATATTTCTTTGGGGATATATTCACTATAGCTATTCATTGCATTTATCCTGGTTGAGGATGGTTTCTTTCTTCTATAGTAGCAAGGGCTTCTGTCGTCTTTGTCTAACAGGGTGTCTCAGCATAGTAATAATATTGAAATGGGTATCGTAGAAAAAACTGACATACACTGCATGGCTGGTATGCCTTGCTTACAGTGTCCTACAGAAAAAGCAAGTACAGATGATGTTAACTAGAAAGAGAAAACCTTAGGGAATTATGCCCATGAAGTAAAAATCGTTCAGAAGGAAACTTCTAAAATTTATGCAGCAGTTTTTTAGGGATTTGCTCAGTGGAACACTCACCACAATCTCAGATGAGTTTAGGAATGAAAAGCTTGTGACATCAAAGACCTGAGTATCTAAAATAGTTTGTGGGTTTGTTTCCCCCTCCAAAAAAAACCCTAGAGAAGAGCTCAAATGAAATGTGGTTGTTCTGAGTTTGTGGTACATAAGTGACTGTGAGCTCTGTGAAGTGCAGAGATCATAGTACAGTTTTGTATTTTATGTTCTGTATTTCAGAATTTTGATCTTCAGAAGTCTCAACTCATTTTTGTGGTCAGAAAAAAAAAATCAGAAGATCCTTATCTCCCCCCCTTCCCCCCATGAGGAATACAGCGATGGAGCTAATCAGGTCAAATCATTGAAGACAGTAATTTAAAAAAAAAAAAAATCACTTTGCTGTCACCCATTCAGATAATATTGCAAAAAAAGTTGAAAAGAGATGCCAAGGAGGAAGGCCACACAAAAGAGGCTAGCACATGTATCTTCATTACATAATGTTGTGAGACTTTGCTTTTTGAACTTGCAAAGCCTATAGCTCAATCATATAAAGCTGAAAGACAGTCTTGGTCCCCTCTTTGAAGACTGTTGAATTAGATGGCTAACATTTCAGCATTTTTGGATGAAAGCCTGTGAGGAATGTCTGTCTTCTCCTTTTCTTTAGATGATGTTTCTAAATGTGTTTATTGGATTCACCAGGTATTGGAATATTAAAACGTAAGTAAGGAAGAAATTTCTCTTTCACCAGAATATTGTAAATATGACTTAAGAGCAACTTACTGTGGAGGACTAAACTAATGCCATTTTGTATGAATTTAAATGTCACATGAGATGTAAATTATGGAACATTGTATTTTCAATTTAATTTGGGATTAGTTAGTATAGTTTTGGTTCAATCACCTCTCTGAAGTGAAAGTGTCATTTATATATTAGCACTTACGAACATTTACTATTAATACTGTGTTTTACATAGTGAAGCAGTGGCAAGCATTGACCTTAAAAATAACATGCTAAAAAATCTGAGGATTAAAATGAGACCGGGGTGCAAGAGCCCAAGCCAAAAAGGATACAATTTGAAGGGCATGGGGGAATCTTATTAGAGAACTAAAATAGCAGCAGTATTTTTAATTTCACAGAGAATATGACCACTGTTTAAAACAAGGACAGGCATGTTTACTTTTAAGACAATGAAATCTGAAGTCTTAACTGTCTGTGAATAGGTGATAAGAAATGACTGTCTTGTTATCATGCTTCTGGCTGTCCTGTGAGATCTGTTAACATCCCCTGGAATTCTAGGAATTTCTTCACTCTTCATTTGTTATGCTTGAAGGTTTCTAAATGTTTGGAATAACTGCTAAATTAAGATAATTCTTTTTTTCTTTCACTGTTTATCATCTTTTCATTGCAGCCCATAGACATCCGTGTTATCCACTCATATCTATGTGTAGAAATAAATGTTTCTTGTTGAGCAGGGATTGTTGGTGCTAAAGACTTGATTAGAGCTGGGTATTCAAATGTATGCATAGTTGTAGCCTATTAATTTAAGCCATAGAGGGATGCTAGGGTAGTGAATCTATGTGCTGGCTTAGGTTAATGTGGGTGTCAGACCATTTAATGAGCTATAGTGTTGGTTGTTTCTGTGGGCTACTTTTTGAAACTGAGCATGTTTCTTTTTTTCAGGTTTTCATTAATTGGTGTAGAGACTGCCCTCTGCTGTGCTCTTCACCTAAAGTAGAATTTAGGTCTTGTCAGCACTAGGAGTTGCTTGTAAGTGTTCAAAAAGCATTAAACCATGTCAGAGCTCTATTGATGTTACAGATGGCAAAATGTAAACAAAAGTTAAGTACTATATTACTGAATTTAAAAATAAGCTTAAATGACCTTGACAAAAGTCTTAAGTTTTTCTATCTCGATGTGATTTTTAGCAATAAGCTTCTTGAAGTCTACTCTGATTTGTTTCTGTTGTCATTCCCTCTCCCCAATACTTCTGTAGTCACCCCAGCTGAAACTCTGTTCCCCCTCATGTCTATTTTTCATTTGGTCTAAAAAGTAGAAATTAAACAATGCTGATGCGTAAGTGGTAGTGTATGTTTAAAACAAAGGGGATTGTGCCATATAAGATGTTTATCCTTAGTGTTTTCAACAATTGTTTTTAATAGCAGTCAACTTTGGAAGTATTTTAATTACTTGTGTAGCCGAGAAAAAAGCATTTATACTACAGTGGAAAGTCAGATTTGTAAAGAAAGCTTCTTGCGCAGTGGTTCTGCTTGACCTGTGCTATCACTTTTAACTGATTAAAGGGTCTCATTATTGAGATTATTATCAAGGAAGGCTGCTGCTAATAGAGCATGCAATGTGTTTTTCACAGAAAGCTTGGTAAGAATTTAAAGAAGATTGAAGTGTTCCTCCCTTTTCATATGACTGCTGTGTTACTTTTATAAAAATCAGCTTGTTCAATTTCTTAAAGCCTTGATCTAAGGGGCATTAATTTCTTTAGACCTAACAGAGAAAAATATCGTATTAAAAGTAAGCTGCTGTGGTGTATCCTACATCTCTCTCCAACTGATTTCACTCACCTGAGTCATTGAGGCCGTGTGTTTCCTAATGTTTGCTGTAAATAGAACAGTTGTAGTGCTGTACTTAGAGGTTTTATTGACCTCACTGCTGCTGCGTATTGAGAGGTTTTAGCCTCTGCTGACCGGGCTTGATAGAACTGACAAAGTGGTTTTTCGCCTCTGCATTTGGGTAATCGTCTCTGTTTCTAACAGGGCTGGAAGACGGGCTGCCACGGTCTCAAAATCCGGGGAGAAGCAGCGGAGCGAGCCGAGGGGCGGCGTGGCGTGGCTGGGGTGTGACGTAAGTCCCGCAGCTCTCGGCCCGAGCGCGGCGGGAGCTGACGAAGCTGTCGCCATGGGAACCAGCAGCGCTCCGGTCCGGCGGGGGAATGCTGAGTCCTGCAAATGGGGGGCTGCAGCTCCTGCCCCGGGAAAGGGGCGGGGGGGGGGGGGGGGGAAACGCCACCCCCCGGGCCGGGGGCCAGATGAGTGACCTGCTGCTATTTTGGACGTTTGGCAATGAAGGAGAGTACTTTGATTAGTGATAACAATTACAAATCTTGCATTTCTGCTTTTAATTTTGAGGCAGCAGGAATTCTTTGTCCAAACTCCATTGTCTATCGCACTGGGTAATTAAATTAAACGTGGCCTCTTTTAGAAATATATCTAGTAGTCTGATGTGACTAAAAGTTACAACAGTGACTGAAACAAGAACGGAGTGTTGTATTACACTGGATATTTATATAAAGCAATCTTTGGACGTACCCTGGAAAGCAATTTATGCTTCTGCAGTGAAACAGGTTAAAATCCACTCTCTTGTTTGTCATGTGCAAATACACAATGAAATTATGATATATACTCTGTGTGTGTCGTAATTTCATATAGTTTGTGCACAGAAATTGCAAAGGTATCTCGCATGTATTTTACTGCAAAGGTGCAGTTGCTGAGGAGAGGTCCGAGTGATGTAGCTGTTGATTGATGTGATGTACTCTCTTATTGGTCCATGTTTATCATGGAAAACACTTTGTTCATATCTGTTCTGTAGGTAGTAGCCCTGTATCTTTTGAAGTTGATAGCGTAGACTGGCCAGTTCTTGAGCTGTGACTTTTTTGATTGTTGTCGCTGCATCAACAGATAAACAAGCCTAATAAAATTAAATGTGTCTTAAATAGACCACAGTTCTTAAATGTAATACCGATGCGATTCAAAAATGTGTTTACAATTTCCCATGTTTGCATGTCCAGCAATTTGTTTATACAATTTATAAAACTGGAATCTAACCGTAGCACCTGAATTTTCAGTTTCATCAGTTTCTCTGTTCTTTAATGTTGCAAGTTAACATTGTTACTCGTCTTGTACGAAAGTAACTTAGAAAGCACTAACAATGAAAATCACTTTTCTTTTGAGGGTTTAGCCCTTTTTGCTGTTGATCCACATATCTTGCACATTTAAGTGAGCATGGAATGTTAAAACCTCTTGGCATGTCTGAAAGCACTTTGAAATACACGTGTTGAACTCAGTTACTGTGCTTGACAGGTTTTATAATGAACTCTGGTCTGAAATTACTAGAAATAAGAGTCAGCTGGATATTAAAGGAAGAGTTTTCTTCCAATACCAAGACTATGCTAAAGCATCTAATTAGAGGAAATAATGTAAAATATTGTAGACTAAAAAAAACCAAACAAACCATACCAGAAGTTGCAGTCTTGAATGTGTTGCAAAGCTAGAGTAAAGAGAATTCTTTTTTTCTATTACAGAATTTTTTAAATTAAGAAAAACAGTATCAAGTTGTCATAGGTTTTGTAACTTTTACTTGCTTTTGAAAAACATCAGGATGCTCCAGTCTGTACCAGGCATTTCAGGTACTATTAAGCTCCATAGGAGATATCTGTGAAGTATTTTCTACCATAAACTCTAGTCTTTAACTTTCATCAGCTAGTGGTTAATTTTATGCTGTGCAGCATGGTTTGTGTTGTGTTTTCCTTTATGTAATTGGCTTCCAAGTCTCTCAATCTTGCAGGTTCACTGAAATACTGTTGAAGAAACAAATGATGCTTGAGAGATGATGCAGGGAAAGCTGGGAATTTTTTTTTCCTATACTGAGCTTCCATTTGTGGAATTACTAAAGTGTTTTACTTTGTTATTTTGTGATTTTTATGACTTAGGTTTGCTTGCTTAGAAATCTGAACTACTGAGTAAAAATACCAGAAGACCCACCATTATGTGAGCCACTAATAATACATGGTAGAGATCTCTGGCATAATTTTATGGTCATATTTTGTTAGTAATTCAGATATCAGGAAGCATCTTGTATGTGATTTTAATCTAACTTTAAATTCACTTCAGCAACCTAGAATTCCTCTTCCGCTTGTTTTTAATGAATGTTTTAATATACCGTGTCTGTCATAGTATATGGCTTTCAGCTGGTCATAAATCCTTTGCACTGTGCCTGATGTTAAATATGTATTTCTTACGTTTATAATATAATTACAGATACAGGTTGGGCTTTTATACTCTCAACTGTGCCAAAACTAGTGAAATTCAGTTGGAGGTGAGTGCTGAACTCCCTTGCAGTCATTCAGAATTCGCAGCTTTAATGAATATTAAAAAGGGAACTATCATGTCTAATCATACTTCTAGCATTGAAAGAATTTTAAACACCACTGAAATGTAACACAAAACCTCAGCCTCCAGAAAATGTCATTTTTGTTCTTTGGAAGTTGCTGAAGCAAAACAAATTTAATTTCACTGTACAGAATTTAGTTGTTAAAGCAATTAGGATTGCTATGCACACCAGCCACAGTTCCCGGGAAGCAAGTGAAAACTTAAACCACCTTACAGCACTTCTGTTTCTGTCCCTGTCAGTATGTATTTTATACTAGCATCTGTCTTGCACACCAAGATGATTGCATTTATATGTGTTTATTCTTTGATAGAGCTTTTGGGGTCTGTGCTTTGTTTAGTGTATTCAGGGTGGTTAAAGAGATGGTAGAAGCCTGACATTGTTAGGGGTCAGTATGAAGAATGATGTGTAGCTTGTGAAATACAGTATTTTTGAGAATAGTAAGTATAGCTAGCAAGACAGTAGTTGTGTGTTTTTCTTTAATTTTGCTGTTTTGAACTCGTACCAGAAATATGGTTTGTTTGCTGTTCATAATTACTTCACAGTGAAATTATTGTGTGATGCCTGATGGTGATCAGAGTGACTGAAATGCTCTTTCTCAATAGCTGTACTTACGTTAGCAGTTTATACAAACTGTCCTCTGTAGGTGTCGTGGTTTAACCCCAGCCAGCAGCTAAGCACCACACAGCTGCTCGCTCACTCCC